ATTCCTCTTCACCCCAGTTCGTGCTACATGTCCTGCCCATCTCATCCTTGACGTGGCGAAGAGTAAAGGCAAAGTTGTCCCTGTGCTTAACTAATGAAGGCGAATGGGGGAGTGGGTGTATAGATCCATATTTCCTTTACCTCGGCGCAAGCTGGAGGTGAATGGGCAGCTTCATGTTCCTGACGCTTTACCCCGGGGAAATGGCCCCCGGTACCCATGGGATAGGAGGTTGGGTGGACCCCAGTGCCGGTCTGGACCGTCTGGGCGACACGGAGAAGAGAAAATTCTTGAAGCTACGGGGGCTAGAACTCCGACCCCTCGGTCGTCCATCCCGTAGCCAGTCGCTGTCCCGGCTCCTTCTTGGCGGAGAGTAAAAGTTAAACATTTATCCGAGCGAAAAAAATTTCAGGCAAAATCTGTTGAGAGAAATGCGACATACGTTTTACGTCCGTTATATTTTTGCCGTTAATCTTACGGGTTTAGAGATAAACACAGGAGAGCGCACCAGAACTGTTAATGTTTACATTTCCGTGTCTGTTGGACTCGAAGTTCGCCTGTCTTGACTGTGAAAAGTGCAACGTGACGCCGTGTAGTCTGGTAGAAGCTTACCGACGTTTCGGAGGAAAGTACTGCCTCTGTCTTCAGGGTTATAGAGTGAACAAATCAAGCAGAGGTCTCCCGATTCTGTCGGACTAGACGGCGTGATATTGCACAAGCCGGCCTGATCAGTTGCTGAGGAACTTAACCGCCGAGGAAGACAAGGCGAGGCGCAATCTTTACATCCACCTCTCTGTGAGACCAGGTGCAATGACCCCCCCCCCTTCCGGTCCAGCTCTTACACCCCTTCCCACGGCAAGCAGTTACTGCTATGCGGCACAGAAATCTGTGATGATCTCTCATGTGGCGCATTGGAGATGGAAATGTCGGACATTACGGCATATTGTTACGTATATGTGACTGTAGACGGGGTTTTGCTGACCACTTGCAGGTCCTGTAACACTATCGCTATTTTCACACTTCACAAATCACTACAGCACAGCTAAGTTTTTTCCATCCTGCTTGTCATCATTAGGCGTTTCCTGGTAACGGCTTCTAACAGTGGCTATTCCTCTGCTTCCGTGTTCAAGTCCCGTACAGAACTTACTCTCAACTGACTAAGCTCCAAACCTCGTCTCGCTTATAGCCTCTCGGCACGGACCACATAGAAAGCAGCTCTTCCATTGTTGTAGTCCACCTGTTGCATTATTAAGAATCTGCTGCCTAGGAACGGGTACGTGTGTACCGAGTCGTTGCCCAGAAACGGGTCTGGCGATCGTCGCATAGTAACATGTCTGCTCGCTACAATGTAGGAGCATTGTTTGATTCTAAGGGTTTCGGACTAGCCAAGTTTTATGAGTACTCTGAAGATATCAGAGTATCTTAGGTGTCGTAACAAGTTCACCCGCCTCTATCATTTCATCAGTGTTGGGTCCAGATGTTGTGTTCTTCCCTTAATGGCGTGACGTTGAAGGTAAGTACCACGCCATGAAGACGTATGGGGGAGTGGAGGTATAGGTCAGTCATATTTGACCTTGGCGCTAGATGGAAGCGAGCTTCACACCCCGGCCACTTTACACCTGGGGAAGGAGGTCCCGATACTCACTGCAAGGCTATGTGTGTCCCATAGGCGGTCTGGGCGCTATGGAGAAGAGAAATTTATTGCCCCTGCCGGGAATCGAACCCGGGTCATCCAGCCCGTAGCTGTACCGACTGAGTTATCCCGACTCCCATGAAGTGACAGTAAGCAGCAGCAATAATAATAACAATAATAACCGCAGATCTCTGTGACGAGGGAGTTCTGCATGTGGAGTTCGTATGGTACGACAGGACGTGGCTGGGAAGGCGAGGGAGCAGACGCTGTCCGCTTCTTCCCGAGACTCATTACAGCCGCCTCTCATTGAAACATGGGCAGTTCAGTGCAGCTCAAAGCTGCGGGATTACTGGACGCAGCGCAAACGACCTCATTGTGTTGGGAACATAATGGCCACCCTGCACGGTTTTGCTTGCGCGCCACGATGTGTGGTCGGCGGACGCGACCTCACACCGAGACTGAGAGACGCAGAGGTCTCGGTCGAGCCTCCAGCTGCTGCTCTTGCTAACGGGAGGCTTACAGCGACTCTGCCTACCGCGCAATCGGGGTTCGATTCACGACGCCGTTCTCCACAGCTCACGGGCCCACTCGCGCTGCTATAAAATGAGTACTCAAGACTTCTCTCCCGGAGATAAAGTTACCGGAATGTTACCCCCAAGAATATTGAAAAAATTCAATGACCTCATCGGGACTCGAATCCGCGACCTTCCGGTTTATACCATACTGCCTGAACCAAGTACACTACCGCGTGCCCCCACCTACATATAGTGCCGAGGCTAAATGTGCCTGAAGCTGTGCCTCCATTCCCCCATACATCATCCCGAAGTGGTACTTAATTAACTTCAGGGACAACTTTACCTTCTCACGAAGTAACTCTGTGAGATGTGAGGTTATCACGGGGTTGATATGAATACACTTTTCTGGGCTGTGACGCCGTGTAGTCTGATATACAGTTATTATTATTTCCGAGATAGCTGATGCCTCCCTCTTCAGGGTGAAGATGGGAACAACAGGTTCCTTCGTCCGAAACATCGATACCTTGGTACCAGACTACACGGCGTCACACACCAGGCGACAGTAAACTTCAACGAATTTACTCTCCGTGCAGCAGAGTCCTTATTCAGAAGCTTGCAGTTGCTAAACTGGTCAGGAAATTCCACGTCTTATTGGAACCTGAAGGTTCATTACCGTGTTCACAAGAGCCCACCACTGGACTACAGCCTAGATCACTTGCATTCAGTCCACTCCCTCACACCTTGTCTATTTAAGATCCGTTTTAATATTATATAATTTTCGCGGTGGACATACCATTGTACTTTCTGCAGTCATTTGATGTTAACAGGAACTGCATGTACATCGCGCGTTCAGACCGTACTGGCATTTAAGTTAATGATAATTTTGATTAAAATAGAAAGGAATTTCGCGTAATTCGGCGAGGGAGATGACGTCACACGCTGCGCATGCTTAGAGACACAGACCCTTCTCAATATACACATATATGTATACTGCCTCCAGCTGATGTCAGCGTCATGTGGCTTGACAGTCAGTCAGTCCGTCCGGCAGGGAGTGGGGGGGGGGAAGAGTAGGTTGGTTGATTGGTTAGCGGATGGTTGGATTGGTGGATTGATTATCAGATGAAAACATTGATTGGTGGGTAGAAGGATACATTAATGGATGGATATATTGGCTGTCTTCTCGAATATTACGCCGTGTGGTCTGTTGAAGGTCAACAGACGTTTCGGATTAATATGGCGCCTCCATCTTCACTGGCAACCAAGAAACCAGCATGAAGTAGGCAGCAAGTGAATAGACTATTTTAGATAAACTCGAGGCTTCAGAGGGCTCTCAGTGCGACGTCTGAAGCATTCTTGCGCATGCGTGGAGCCGCAGATGGAGTCGTGGCAACAGCGACGTTTCGGCACGGGAAGTCATTTCGCTCTCAAGGGCTGTTACGAGTTCAGTGACGCGGTTCATCTGTTGAGGACACGGGACGGATGCAAGCGAGCACTTCCGCCGCTGAGGACAGTGATAAGGCTACGAAGAGGGGATGTAGACAATTGGAACGTCGGCAAGGAGTATCCCCAAAGAGCGAGGAAGTCGGGGGCGAGTTAGGCTACACGGCACGGAACGATATCTGATTTGGTACAACGTGAAGCTTCATACTGTATACACTTAGGGTGATTAACTCAGGGACTGTTGGTTGGATGGGACATGTAGCAGGCGTGAGAGGGATGAGATGCAAACAAAATTATAGTTGGGAAACCTGACGGGAAGAGACGTACCCCTACATACGATGAGGATAATATTAAAATGTATCTTAAATACAGTGCGGTCTGGATTCACGTGGCTTGGGATAGGATCAGTAGGCTCTTGTGAAGGCGGTAATGAACATGATGAGTCAGTAAAAGTCGGGGGGGGGGAATTTATGACAAGCTAATTGAATATTAATATGTCAAAAAGGCTTCTGCTCCATGGAGATTTTGTTTGTGTTATTTTTGTTATTGTTATAATTATTAAAGCAGCCCCAAACGAGCTGGGTCCCGAAACGTTGAAGTTGTAATTTACTATGACACGAAATTAAATCCCGTATTTTCGATTCGGCAGTTTTATAAACTCCCTGTTGCAAACACGGGATTTTGTACGGGTGGGGGGTCTTTCCCCAGGGTAAAGCGGCCGGGGCGTCAAGCTAACTACTAATCTCCATACAGTTCCGAGTCGAGAATGATGGCGCCATACCACCATTCCTCCATACGTCTTTATTACATAGTGCTTAATTAAGCAGAGGGCAACTTTACTTTCCCCTTTGAACAGACTGCAACACAGCAGTGAAGATGAACAAAACAACATGCGAAGGAAATATCAGAAACGGAACTAAGGAGGAAGTTAGGAGTACAGGAAAAGAAACGGCCAAATCAGGAGGGCCGGGCCGCTTCATTGCCGTCATTAGTATGCACGCGGCTTCCAAGCATTGTACACCACAGAACGGCTTGCAGTGTGACAGATTGCAGGGCCATGCCAGCTCGCGTGCACGGCTCCTACTTCGGATGTTGTGTTCCCGCTGTTTGTTGCGATGTTGTGCACAACCTGAGTGTAGAGTGTTGTGTTCCCGCTGTTTTGTTGCAATGTTGTGCACAGCCTGAGTGTACATTGTTGTGTCCCCGCTGTTTTGTTGCGATGTTGTGCACAGCCTGAATGTACATTGTTGTGTTCGCTTGTGAAAATGGCGAAAGATGCGACAGGAAGACTGAAGAAGTAAGATGTATGAAGTGAACATGAGCCCGGCCGCTCCGTGTCGAGAAGTGTAGTCTCTCTGTTTAATGACTGAATGATTGATTGATTGATTCTTAAAGGCCTCTAACGGAGTTTGTGCCGTCATGAGATCCGAGCTCCTCGCAAGTGTGAGTGTGAAGATTACGGTCCTCTGGGATATGACACCCTGTAATTTTGTACATTGGCACGAACGTTTCGGATGAATCTGCTGCCTCCATCTTCAGTTTAGTGTACAAGATGGAAGGCAGAACTACAATCGCCGCCATGAGCTGATGGTAAATTTTAGCTTCTGTTGAACAAAGGCCCAAGTTTTTAAATAGACTCAGTTCTAAAGGGTTCTGACGATGGTGGATAACACAGAATTACTGGGGGTTTTGTACTATTTCCATCGTCCGGAATTCTAGGACATAGAAAACACGGCGTTTCGGAAACTGGGTCTGTTTCCGTCTTCAGGTGAGGAAGGAGGACACCTAGTCAGTTGGGCCCCATAGAAAGAGCTAATCTCAGCTCAGTCGTGTTTTTTATTTCCTAGAATTCCGGATGATGGAAAAAGTCCGAGAACCCAGTAATTCTGTGAGACTTAGTTCTGTTTGTCGGGAAGGAGTTTCTTCTGGTTATTGATTTGCTGCATAATTGAAACATAACAGCTGAACTAGCCGTGTTGTGTCTGACATTCATTTCCGAGAAAATCAATCTTCACTCGGAGTTCTATCGGTTTAGGTTTTCTGGAATTGAAATAAACAGAGCCCTGAGCCATTATCTGCAGCGATTTCAGTGCCGATATTGCGAGAGGCGCCTGTATCCAGGCTCAGGGCACTGGGCAAACTTCGTACTGTGAGAGGCCGACGTCAGCATCTGAGGTTACATGACTATCACAACCTGTGAAACTATACATTGAAACTAGTACCGACAAAAGTTAGTGTAGGTTTGTTGTACCGTTTTCGATCGAAACTGGTCAGGTGCTTTGCGTGTTGTTAGACACGGACGGACATGACAGAGGAAATAGGTGGATTTTGAAATTCTTGTAAAATTGGAATTCATCTTTACGCCAATACTTAGGACATCGGCTGTTGACCCTGTCGGCAGTTGAGAGTGTGTTCCATTAAATGGTAGGATGATTGGTGAATAATGAGTTGGAAAGAAGTGGTCGTGGCCTAATTTATGGTACTTGCCTGGAAATTCCTGGAGAGAAGGAAACTCAGTAATAGACTTCAGTAATGATAACCCATCTCCGTTCTGATGTGTTCCTTCTGCGACCTGCCGAGTGTCAAGCCAGAAGGCAACATTCAGGTGACCGTCAGGTTCTGTGTGTGTTCTCGTGCATGAGGATGAGCGCAAGTTCGCATGGGGCGGTCGGTGTTTATGTTGTGATTCCTGCCTCAACAAACAAGTGCCTGTGAGGACACAGTTGCGAGCCTCAGGAGCTAATGTTAATTTGGCTATCATACAGCAATTGCAGACCCTACAAATTCGCTTCATCTTCACAAGCTGTCACTCGGTTCGTCAGCAAAATTTGCGCCCTTTGTTGCGTTGATTGCCGTGTTCATAACAGCTGCCACTGTATTCCCATATCCTGAGCCACATCAGTTGAGCCCACACAATTGCATCATGCTGATTTCAAAACCACACTTTAATATTATTCTCCATTAACGCCAGCGTCTCTAAAGTGATCTCTCCCAGGTTTTCCGATCAGAATTTTGTACGCATTTCTCTCATCATCTGTTTCCCTGCTTCATGTCCCGACCATCTCATCCTCCGTGATTTGATCATGATGAAGTTCCTTGTTATGTAATTTTCTCCATCGTCTTCGATCCAAATACCCCCTCCAGCACCCAGTTCTCGAACACACTCAGTTTATGTTATTCTCGCGGAGTGATGCATGTAGAGGCCTATCCTAACTGAGGTTTATCGTGATCTTCCTCATGCTCTCCAGGAGAGCCCCGAGATAGTGCCGCAAGTTACAACATTTGGCTCAGTATAGAGCTAGTGTCGCAGACAGCGTCCTTAAGTAAACTACAAGTAAGAAAGAAAGTTTTGTAGCTCAGTCTTCAGGTGTTGAGAAAGCGCAGTGTAATCTCTTCTCCTTGCAACTGGAAGACTAACCAACTGTCAGAAGCATGTCACAAAGGGTCGTATAATACAGGGTGTGCCTGTTAAAACGGAATCCTAAATACATCAGCGTTACCTTCCTGCAAGGGTACGCATTCCTAACGCTTCACCAAGAGCAGTAAACGGTAATGAACACGCTCTGCTCGTGGCACAGAGCTCGCACCTGCGCAGCTGGGTGACATTGACTCGAGTGTCACAAGGAATGTTGGGCGGAATCTACTGTTACGAAAGGAAAACAGCTTCTGGCGGTTTCAATTGGGACACCCTGTACAAAATAATTTTACGGTATGTGATTCAGTAGTTGCGTCCCTCCTCTGACGCTGTTCTTCACAGTGCAGTGCAGATGCAGGGGACGAGAAGAGAGCAGAAATCGAATGCTTTGGCGTCGACCGCAGTTCCCAGGGAAATTCCAGCTCCGGATATCCGTGTTTTGTTAAACTGTAATAGGTTGAGGGGTGGGGGGTCTGGGGAAATACTGAGATAACAGAAAGGAGAAGCGTCACAACAGAGCCTGTCCGTCTGTAGGTCGTCTGATTGCAAATCGAGTTTCCTCTTCACAATTGCAGTAGAGAGGGCACACAAGGACAGTATTTGCGTACTTAATGGGGGAGAGGCGGCAGGTAAAAGGTAAAGTTGTCCCTGTGCTTAACTAATTAAACACTACCCTCTTACGGTGTATGGGGGGAGCGGATGTATAGATCCGCATTTTCTTCAAATCTACACTACTTGGAGGTGAGTAGTCAGCTTTACGCTCCGGACGCTTTACCCCCGGGGGAAAAAGCCCCCGGTACCCATTGGAGAGGAGGCTGAGTGGGCCCCAGAGCCGGTCTGGACTACTTACAGAAGAGAAATTCTTGATCCCACCGGGACTCGAAATCCAACCCCTCGGTCGTCCATCCCGTAGCCAGTCGCTATACCGACTGAGCTATCCCGGCTGCTTGGGTAGGTGGCAGGAGGGTGCAGAAACATTCACAACGATAAGGAAAATAAGATGGACGGGGGCATGTAGCATAGGCGGAAAAGCGTGAGACGATAATATTAAAACGGGTACTTTTGTTTCTTACTGTATGACTATCACTGTCTAGAATGTACTGTAACATCGGATGAACTGGAGTTGGTCGTGGCCTGACCGAGATGAGGTTCCGGAATTTGCCTGGAGGCACCAAGGAAACCCGCGAGACAGGAGAGCTGGTTCCTCACAGCTGCAGTCACAGAGGATTGACGCCTGCACTAACCTGCTCCATTAATAGTAATTGTCAAATGGAGAAAAGATTAAATTGGTAGGGCATGTAGCAGGCATAGGAGAGATGAGAAATGCATACAGAATTTTCAGCCAAACGCGAAAGGAAACGCGTAGATGAAACAGGGTGTGATCGTGTGGACTGGATTCAGTAAGAGGGCCCCTTTTGAGTTACCTCCCCTTTCCAAGAGCCTTCATGATGGAATCATTCGATCACTTGTGTGGCTGTTTGGAAACAGCTCCATTTAAATCGATGGTTCGCTAAGACGCACGTGCTGCAGCCGGGTCCCATGGCCTGTTTCCTTAGTGACCCAGTTCACACTCTGCTGTAAACATTCTCACGTCGTGAAGACGGTGACATCTGCCGACCTCTGCCCTGTTTACTTATACAGCCAACAACGGCAGAATTCTGCTACATGCAAACTTTCCTCCGCTTTCGCTCGCTTTTGTCATGAAGGGAGACATACTCATAGATGGGAGGATAATATTAAAATGGCTCGTAGAGAAGTAGGATATGAGAGTGCTGACTGGATTAATCTGCGTGGGATATGAAGTTCTCACGGCGTTGAGTATTAACACTACGATGTGATGCCTTGTGGTTTGGTAGTTTAGTACAAACATTTCGACTGAACCTCCTGGAGTAAAAGAATAGCAGAATAAAAAGTGGTCATACCGTGAAGATGGAGGCAGTATGCTCTCCGAAACCTCGGTACGTACGATGTAACACGAACAAGAGCAAGATATGAATGTGTTTGACAAGGAAATGGGCAGATATTGAAATGTAATTCTCCGGTCTAAACGGAGCCCTGTTTAGATGAACGCTTTGTTTCCCCGCTATGCACGTCATGAAGCGTGAGTCAGCGCGTTCGGGAATTCTTGTGCACAGGCTCCTACGTAGTGACGTTAATTGTTAAGTTGCGGGGCGGGGGGGGGCAGATCCGGTGTTTGCTTTCATGCGTTTTATTTAGTTTGTTCCCCGAAACATAAATAAATGAATTCTACTGCTGTAACTTCGCGCACGCAACGAGCAGAGGCAAGTAGAGCCGGAAGCAAATACCTGCATATGAAATTTGCATTCCCCGGAGAAGAATTCAGATGGAACATAGGCCTGCTCGAGGAGCCGAAAATCATTGAGATCATCAACAAAACCCTCTGCCCCCCACCTTTGGAACACGAATGTTAATTATCGTGATCATAAGAGCCCGCCACTGGTCCTCATATCCTACTTCTCTAGGGGCCCCCATACACGCACAGTTTGGCCTCCAGTTCGGCCTGCACAGTTGAAGACTGAAAGGCAAAACTGACGTGTGTGGTGCGGCCGGCCGGGCAATCGTTTGGACCGTTGGCCTGTGGGAAACCCGTCAGTCCGTCAGTTCTGCCTGCAGGACCGTAGCACGTGACGTGTGTGACTCAGCATTATAGGCTGGAAGACCGTGATTGTGGCATGAAGCTTACAGCTCTATCTGCCCGTGTAAGGGGAGGAAAGGGAGGGGGTAAACTGTCACAGTTTTGCCTGTAAGGTCGATCGGAAGGCCAAACTGTGTGTGTATGGGGGGCCTAACAGACACTTTAATATTATCCTGCCATCTGTTAGTAGGTCTTGCAAGTGATATTTTTCCTTCAGAGTTTCCGATGAACAGAATTTCACCTCGCTCCCATTCGTGCTATATGTCCTGACCATCTCATACTCCTTGATTTGATTATCTGATATTTGGCGAAGAGAGCAATTATGACCCCCCTCCCCCCGGTTATGAGGATTACAGCTGTCATGTTCTTTTAGTGTTAACCACAAAGAAGCGGATGCAATTTGCCCCACGCTCCCCTATCACAATAATAGTACACGCCTGAGTGTACAGAAAGCCTGTTGCTGTTTTTAATTTCAAACACATGTGTACACACAGAGGTCGCTGAGCGGTAACAGCTGGTCCATGTTCATGTTTCGTCCGGACGCGCTCATGACACGCTTCACGCGATCTCCACGCGCCCGTCATGCCGCGCGACAACTGCTCTGTGAATTTACGTGAAATTTGATATTGGAGAACTTTTACTGGAGTTTGCCAATATGTTCCAATTTTTGGTTAAAAAGAAAGTAAAAAGTAAAGCCATCCCTGTAACAAGCCATGGAGGCCCATGGGGTTGTGAGATGTTGAGGTTCCCACATTTTCTAGACAGTCGGCTCACAGTTGGCGGTGAGGCTGTCAGTATTACGCGCCGAGCTATTCCTGTGACAGGCCATGGAGGCCCATAGGGTTGTGAGATGTTGAGGTCCCCACATTATCTAGACAGTCGGCTCACAGATGGCGGTGAGGCTGTCAGCCTTACTCGCCGAGTTATACCCGTGACAGGCCATGGAGGCCCATAGGGTTGTGAGATGTTGAGGTTCCCACATTATCTAGACAGTCGGCTCACAGATGGCGGTGAGGCTGTCAGATTTATGCGTCCGCCGCGTACTCATTTCTCTTAGAAGCTGAGTCGACCCCAGGGCCATAGTGCGGCTGGCGGGATTAGGTCAATTGAAAAATCCAATGACTTCTTTGGGACTCGTACCCGCGACCTTCAGACTTGCAGCATAGTGCCTCAACCAGCTAAGCTGCCGCGTGCACCCGATTTCGGTTAAAAGTGGAAATAATAACGGAAACATTACATGAAGACCTTGCATGCTAAATAAGAGTGAGTGAGACAAAAGCTCAGAGTAGAATGAAACACGTTTTTGTTCGACACTTCTCTTCCCCGCGAGTCTTCGGCTGTAGATACGATTAATCGCGGTTTAATTGACCCGTCAGAATCGTTGGGATGTTCAGACAGTTGCTAACGGCGGTGAGTGGCTTCTGGGACATATCGCGGTGTAATCTGGTAGAGTTTTCCGATGTTTCGGAGTAACACACCATTTTGTATGTCGAAAAGTAAGCTGGTGAAATGAGCTTGTAAGTTGGGCGCTCGGATGAAGCGAAATGTTTGTGGTGCAAAGAGAGCGAGGAAGTTTCCGTCACATTATGCACAGGCCAGCGCATTTTAATTATCGCACAGTTCCTTCCTCTGCGCCGTCAGCAGTTCTTGTGCATAGTTCTGAACAGCGGATTAAGTAGGAAGTGACGTCTAAACAATATTAACAGGCAAACTGTACGTTCTCAAGTTAGAGGTAAGATGACACAATACCCCCCCCCCCGCCCTAAAGAAATCAGGCGTTGAAAGGATTAATCAGTTAAACATATGAAATATTCATTAGTGTATTCGGCACGATGTTCTCATAGTGATGACTTAGTATATTCAGGGGTATGACGCCGTGTAATCTTGCACAAGTTCATCGATGTTTTGGGCGAACATACTTCTTCCATCTTCAGGGTTGGAGTAAGCCAAGCAAGCAGCAAGCAAAACAAGTATTGGTTAACAATCATCGTCATGTAAAACTAGTCGTGAAGTTAAACCAGTAGGGTGGCGTGTTCATGTCCCTGGCAGTCCCTCAACAGGGTCACTGCCTTTCTCTTCAGTAGTATTTTTAATTGTTTTTGGATGACTGAGGTCTTTCGTTCAGTGGATGTGTTGAAGCTCTTTCCTTCTGTATGTACATTTTCTTGAAAGGAATCCATTTTGAGTTCTTCTGAAGTGTCTTTTGTGTGTGTGCGCGTGTGTGGGGAGGGGGGCAGAAAAGAGTGTCGAGCTGTTTGCCGTAGAAATTTCATGTTTGAAAGAGCTAATTGAAGGAAATAGCGGCTCCTGTCTAGAAAACCGAGATTAACGGCCGTGGGGATCCGTTGCCCTGACCACGCGACACCCTCTATCCGCTAAAGTTGGCACCAACTTCTCTGACAAGGGACGGTCGCTCGGTCGGTATAGTTCGCTTGCGGACTACAGGCCACGGAGTTTGTTTCGTTTTTGTTGAAAGATATATTCTATTGCTGCCTTCTTGTAAGGTACAGCAGACCAGTGCAGAGCAGGTCACTAGTTTTCTCTGTTTCAGAATCTTATTTATAGACATTTTGTAGGACTCCTTGAACAATGATCAACCCGCTGCAAGCTCTCTCCCTGCACAGAACATGAACACAGTGTAGATATACATCCATGCCCCAGTGGAATTCAAACCCATGATCGCAGTCTGTTCAAGCAGTAGAAGACCATATGTGCACCCTACAGACCCCATAGACACCATGATCAGCTGTCCCCATATCTCACTGCCAAACTTTGCTGTCACAAATTTGAACAGTGCAGTAACACGCTAAATACTTTTGGTTTTGGGGATGTAGAGTTTTAAGAATTTAGCAGAGAAGCACAGAGAACCAGAACAGTGGTGTAGTGTAATTTGTAGACATAGTATTGTGTTTGATGTGTGTCAAACTAATTTAACAGATATCAGTCGCTCTTTTACCAAACAGCTCAATTCAACTGTTACGGTTATGCAAAATCCAAAATTGCATGGCCGTGATGGTTTGGATATTGGCCCTCCTGTTATTACACTTTGTGTTGTGGTAGGGGGTACCAGTGTTTTGGGGGAACATCCTCCCTACTCCATCCTGCAGGTAGGAGCACCGCATTCTTCTGGAACGTTGATACACACCAACCAGATTACACGGCAGCATAACCCAGAGGGCCACAAGTGGTATAATGTCTGGCAAATTTTAGTCCAGAACACATGGGCATAACTCATCCTTGTTCACATGTAACAGATATCAGTCATGCAATCAGTGTATCAGTGATTTCACAGTTCAACAAACTGTATGGATAAATTACTGTTCACAAGATGAACATAAACGTGGGAAACTGAGACATATCTTCCATTCAGGATGAAAGGCAAAATGACTAGAACAGTTATTGATGCTGTCAAGTTTGAAGCCGCAGACAAATGTGAAACTGATCGAGATGACACGCGCCACAATTTGTGGCTTCCATATAGAAAAGTGTCGTGGTTACGTAAGTGCAGACATTTGCGAGTATATCCAGAAAAAGGTGAAAAATGGAAGTAGTTGAATATCGACGCTCCTCTGGTTCCGCGACAGCTCTTGGGTTGCGGAGTTCGAGATCAGTTCGATCCTCACTAAGGCTGTTTGGAGCTCGATGGCGAACAGCAACTGCATGTGCTGCAAACAACATTGTGTGCCCCCCTTGCAATCAGGAGACGAATCAGCAGTCTGGTGTTGCAATTCTGGGTGCCTCCACCATTTCAAGCCAAACAGCAAAACAACCCTCATCCGCTGCACCATCCCAGCAACAAAAAAAGCAAAAAAGTTCACGAATGTCATGGTTACAAGTTTTCTCTCATCAACAAAAGAAACATCTGAAGTCCTCTTGTGTGAGTGTGGGAAAACAGAATGAACTCAGAGATCTGAAGACTAAACTGGTTTCTACTGAGGTACCAGAACGTGAAGAAACAATACCAGAATACCCTTCATCAAAAGTGTCGCGGATTTTAGGGCTGAGAGAAGAGCAGGCCCAGTGTAGAAAATCTGTCTCTTTACAGTTCCTAACAGAACAGCATAATAAACAGTTTAAGTTGTCTTCACCGCAGTTGAATGCAAAGGAATGCAGCAGTCCACAGAGACCCTATGTTCAGCAGAAATGTAATGCACTATCACGAAGTCCTTCACCAGCAGAACTGTTTCCACACCAAGATCGTCAGTTTCTGCCCCTGCTGTCAAGTGTGGGAACCCAGCGGAGAAACTCGATGTGGGCTTTGGGGTCACCTAAACCCAGTATGTTGAGATTCATATTTATGTGACTGATTTGAGCCAGTACACTGATACCAGAGTTCTTGCTTTATGGTCTCATGAACCATTAGCTTTATAAGCTTATAGCCTGGCTTTACTTAGCAATTAATTCTGTGTGTCTAAGATCCATTTTAATGTGAGATTTGACGTTCTGACAGTAGTGTTTATCATGATTATAGAATAGGTACCAGTATGCCAGAGGTACATGCTGCCGCCATGTTTGAGGGCTCAGTCCTGAATGTGAAGGCAGCAGAGTCCTATGAAACTGCACGACATCACATTGCAGAATACCAGAATGTTCAGGTGTTTTACTGCTTTATGGAGGGTGGAGGTTAATGACAACTCAGCTTCCTCTTGGTCTTGGGGCGTGACGCTGCATAGTCTCATTGCATATTTTCATGGGTCTTAGAGACGTCCAGTTATATATATACATATTATGGTGAACCCCCCCCACAAGACTTGGATCTAAACAGTAAACTGAGACATCTGAAATGAAGGAATTTGAACACTGAGATTATTGACTTGGGATCGCTGAAACAAAATGTTGTAGTCAGTATGTACAGAAACCTTAAGTCGAGGAAGATTAAATAGAGGGTTCCACTGGCGATATGTTAGCTATGAAACTAGAAAATGGAAATACACATTTATTTTAGCTACCGGTGAAATGTGTTACATGTAGCCTACCATTAATGGATGACATAATATTCTTTAATGTGTATGTTCATTACAGAATTGAATAGGTTCACTCTGGTCCGGCTCCTGCTAACGTGAATGATATTTTCATCTGATGTCTAGTTTCACAATTCATTCTGTTCTCATTTTGTAAGACTTTGTTCTTATTGGTGACATTCTGGGACACATCACTTTGTGCTAATGAGAATATTAAGAAAATAAGTTTTTGAATTCACTATCATTTTTCTTATTTTTGTTGTTTCTGTTTGTTATGTTCTATAATTTGTTTTGAGTTATCGTTTCTTTTTTCAGAGTTGCAGGAGGGAGGGATGGAGTTTCTGGTTGATGGGCTGAATCTGACAAAAACAGCAAAGAAGAAATTAGATAAGATAGATAAGATCAATATTCACTTACATGGTAAGGAGCATGACGACTGACCCCTGATTCCTAACACACTGCTAGTGGTTACCCTGCCATTTCTTTCTATAATCCTTCTTTTTCAAAATTCCTAATAGGGAGTGCTGTAAATTCTGGGAGCACATGACATGAGCCATGGATGCTGTTTGGCCCATGTGAAATAGCTAAGCTGTTAATCAAGGCAAAATTTGTGTTGTAAAATTACTTTAATTTTAAAAATTGGTCACAGTTTTAACAATACACTTGTGTAAGTATATATTTTGGTAGTATTTTGTAGTCTTGTGTTTTCCACAGAGCTGCTATTTAGTAATGTGTCCTTTACAACTACAAATCATCCTCTGGAATGAAACTCAAGGTTAAATAAATCATGGTGATTCCTTCTGTATGTGTGAGATCCCTGGATTGCCAGATCTGTACAGAAAGGTGATCCATATGATTTATACAGCTTCCAGCTCCTATCCTCAGCAACCCTTACCCAGTCATTTTGACATAAGGAGGTTAAAAATAGAACCCCCATAAATGTTAAAGATCCTGTACAGTTTAGACTCACTACTTATTCCTTATATAGTGAACTTGGCGACCCTCAGGTTTTTAATAAACATTTCTGAGAGAAAGAATTTAATTTAGAGCACATTCTGTGAATATATATCTCCCATTTAAAAGTTTTGTGCAGAAATTACAAAGTCCATGATGAATTCAGCACAAGTAGAAGTGAACCCTCTGGTAACTTGTAAAGTGGAAGGGCTGTCAGGATGTACACACACTGGGAGAGGCAGGGGTTACTCTGTTTGTGTAGCAGATGATGCGAGCAGTTGGTAATTTTTTATGTTTTTATATTAATTCTTTAATGTTCATTTATATATTTTGAGTTTAATTTTGTGAGTTGGTACCTGTGACTGCAGCAGGTTGTAGAAGCTGTCAAGGAATGCTGTGTTTACTGTTTCAGCACTGTTTGCAGCTGTTGAACATGGTCATCTGGACAGAGCGCGCACCATTCTCGAGTCTACAGATGTTGATGTGAACAGGTAACCATATTTATGTGTTTATCTAACATACATACATAACTGTTCTGTTTCCTACTTCAGACTGCAAGGAGAACACCTAAAGCTGTTATGAAATTGCCAATATGTATGGTAGTTACAGATGTTAAATTGACAAGTATTGTGGTGGGTGCCAATTTGAATCCCCATCCTCATTAATTTGATTTTGAATTGCACAAGTAATTTATTGCTTCTTAATTTGGTGTTCCTTCTTTAAAGTTTTAGTCACAATATATTGTGATACTGGTAACAAAAGCAACCCTGACCTGGACGAAGAACGGGTACTTCTGTTTGGTCTCATATATTTTGTACAATATAGAGGTCAGGACTTTTGCTTTATATTCATAAAGCCCCAGTTTGAATCTTGCCAGAAGACCAGCAATCCTATTAGGTTTTTCTCAGTTTCTCCTGGCATATTCTAGAATAAAAGTAAAGGCAAAATTATCCCTCTGCTTAATTAAGCACCACATGAATTTGATTTGTGTCATTCTGGTCTGTCACACTAATGATATCATGAACTGTTTAACGTTTTATGATAAGCACATAATTTAAAATCTATGGGAGAGTGGAGGTACATATCCACATATCCATAACTTCAGCACTGAATGGAAATGAGAAGTCACTTTTATGCCCTAGCTGCTTTAACCTCAGGGAAAGAACCGTGATATCCACTGGACAGTGTGGTTAGTGGGCCTCAGAGCCAGACTGGACAGCATGAAGAGAAAAATCCATGCCCTCTGAGAAATTTAATCCCATTTCTGTGAACATCCAGCCCATAACTTAACACTGTACTGAGCTCTTGCACCTGGGACAGTATCCTGCCACTTGATTCTTTACATTGTGGCACATTCGCTCCAAGGAAGAACTGTGAAGTCAGCAGAGACAGCCATTGCTAGGGAACGGCTCTGCAAATACGCCCATTGCTAGGCAACAGCTTCATAAGCACACAACAATAACAGAGCCATCTCTAAGCAATGTGCCTATGCAACAGTGGAGGAACTGTTGGAAGCAGTGTTTCCTGTGCAGTCCATGTCAGTCCAAGTACAGTTTCCCCACACTACATACTCCTCTACTGTGAACGTGACGGTAGCAGGTTTCTCCAAAACATTGGGGCATGTCTACCCAGAGACAGTAATCTTAAGATTCAGTGCTGTAAGACCTTCTGGCCTCAGTTAGTCAGTGTTACCACAAATTTTGTAGCAAGCATAATTGAACGTAAATAAAAGTACAACAGCATAAAATGCCTAACAAATAATTTGTTGTTTTTCAGCGTGAATAGCGATGGGCTGTCTCCATTGGATGTGGCAGTCCTAAGCAACAACCGACAACTAGCAAAGATGCTAGTGACATTTGGTGCTCAGGAGGGAAATCAGTGTGAGTGTTCGGCTTAATGGGTGGCAGAATCTGCCCTGTGATCATATAATAGTTCAGTAGTTGTCATTTTAGTAAAATGGAAGCAATGGACATACTTAAGTATACAAGAGTTGTATTTATTGACAGTCGAGAGTCCCGAGTCACTTGGGAGTCACTTAAAGCAGCTGCTGGCGGAGGCGGAGCAGCAAGTGAAGAAACTTGGCGGACAGCTGACCCTTGAAGAAACATCAAGCTGCAACAATAATAACAATAACAATCACCATCACCACAACAATATTAACAATCGCTCATCAGGATCGTCATCGCCGTTTAGTGTGATTGGGAGCAGCATGGCAACAGCGGCCATGACGGGCTGCAGTGGAGGGGGGAGTGACACAAGTACGGACAAGCAGCTGCTCCTCTGGGAAAGGAGGGTGAAAGTCCTCAAGAAGATGCTGCTTGGATTCGATCAAGCCCGTAAGCGTAACACAGAAGTGTTGTTCCTTTCTCTGCTAATTCCATGCAACAGATCCCTTCTTCAGAGGCCGACAGTTGCTGAGCTATAAAAAAAAAGTCCATCCATTTACAAAACCTGTACATTCACTGCCTTGTCAGAATGGACTCCATCCGGATTCCAGCTCAGTGTTTGCATATTAATGTGTTGCATACTTATGAAAATAGAGTTTTTGCCTTTTGTGAAAACTCATAGTTTGGTCTTATGGGGTATGACACCATATAGCCTGGTATGTGGGTGACATAACTGTATCCATCATCAGGGTAGAACATAGAGGCAATATGTTCCTCCAAAATGTTTGTACCCACCCACCAGACTATACAGTGTCATAATCCAGAAGACCACAATTTTAAACATCATATTCATCTCATGAAGTCTGTAGATAAAAAATACCAAAGTTTAGTCCTTTTGTGGCAACCGCCATGTTTACCCACACTGTTTTGCATATGTCACATTTTTGTTTTCAGAAAAGTTTCTAGGAATTACGCGTGAATTCTCTGTGATCTCCCCCATTGTGTGGGTTCTCCTGACACAACAGTCCGCTGTTAGTCTTCATGCACTCTCAGATGGGAGTGACCGATCAGGTTTATGTAGGACACCATCATCTTGCCTTACCTCAGCTGTTGTTTTGTAGCTGAAATGCAATTTGATGTTATTTTCAGGGCCGCCTGACGTACCATTCCTAGTGGCTGTAGACGTGACGGGCACAAATTCTGTTACAGTTCGATTCCAAGAACCTGAACAGCAGGACTCAGCCATCTGTACGAAGTTCAAAGGTATACAGAATAAACTAATGCAAGAACAAGAGTGGTACTCTAGCATACATATGCACTGACCTCTTTGGGGTTATGTAATATATTTGTCAATGTTGTTGGCCAAGTGTTGAGTTTCTCAATATTATTACCATTATCCCTGAGTTAAGGTATGGGTAACAGCATATTTAAAACTCCCTATTCCCAAATGACAGGCTCTGGGGCCCACCCAGTCTCCTATCCAGTGGGTACCTCAAGCTCTTTTCCCGGGGTAAAGCGACAGGAGCGTGAAGCTAACCACTCACCTTCAACTAGTGCCGAGGTCAAGAAAATGTGGATTGATTCATCCACTCCCTCATACGCCTTGCTTAATTAGTTAAGCACAGGGACAACTTTACCTTTACCTTGTTCCCAAATGACAAAATTGTTACTCCTGAGTTTAACTAGGCTGTCAGTCGCATGGTACTGGGAGATTTAAGATAGCTGTTTGGGATACTTACAGTGTTGTCATAATGTAATGTTCTTTCTGACAGTGCAATGGAGTAGTAATGAGGACTTCAGTCCACTGGCAGGTGAGAGGGAGATCCTTGATATGAAGCACCTGGAATGTAACATCAGTGACCTTACACAGGGCTGCAGGTACTACTTCAGGGTTGCATGTGGCAACCTGAAGGGCTATGGAAACTACAGACTGTCCAGCCCTGCTTCTGTGGTTCCCTCAAGTAAGTCCTCTCACTGGGAAAGTATATTGAAGCCTGGGTATTTCTGGTTTTAATATGATATATTGTCATGTGATGGACTGACTATAGGCAAGGTTTGGATTGGTAACCAGAATGGTCAAACTCTTACTCGTAACTACAAGTAAGGCTTATGCTGTAACTGTTGCACACACTTCACACATCACTATAGGACACATTGGGTCTTCTCGATCTGTTACAGTCTTCACTAACCGTTGCTCGGTAGCTGCTTCTAACAGGGGACATTCCCCTTACTCTGTGTTTCTGAACTGTCCCCGTGAATCAGCTACAAGCTTCTGACAGCAACAGCTCACAATACCTGAACCCCAGTGGTTATCTAATTGACTGCTCCTCAAGACTCAACTCAACTCATTATATAGCCCAGGCACAGACCACTCAGAAAACCCCATTCCTCTGTTTCAGTGCAGTTGTTGCTTAACAGGGGCATGATGTATTCCATTGTTGTGTGTGCAACCATCGGCATGGACTGTGCAGAAAATACCATTCCTGTGTTGTTTATGGGCAGCTGTCTAGGAAGAGCTGGCTCGTGTGGCTTCAGAATTCTTGCTTTGAGCCAATATGCCACAATGTGTAAAAACATAATTGTTTCTTGTTTCTGAAAGTTTCCTACTCTGGACCCCAAATACTGTGAAATTTACCCCTCCTGTTATGGAGATGTGCAACTGTTGCAGTTAGAATTTTTGAGTGCAATTCAAATCCTTATTGCCAGTATTTTTGCAGTCTTCTAGGTTATGTAGTAGGTAGGTGTGTACCAGTACTTTAGAGGAACATGGTGCCCTGAAGACAGAGGTAGTATGGCCCTCTTGAGTTCTATTGTCATGCTGCCTCATGCTGTAACCCTGAAGACAGAGGTAGTATGGCCCTCTTGAGTTGTAGTACCACACTGCCTCATGCTGTAACCCTCAAGACAGAGGTAGTATGGCCCTCTGAGTTATACTGCCACACTGCCTCGTGCTGTAACCCTGAAGACAGAGGTAGTATTGTCCTCTTGAGTTGTACTGCCACACTGCCTCGTGCTGTAACACTGAAGACAGCACTCACCTGCTGTGAGAATCCACTGCTCTTCTTTAAGACATTTGCTGGGGTTGCCATTATATAGACAAAATTCTTGTTTTCCACAACATTATCAAGAGGAAACTGTGTTCTTTTTCTGGCTTCATGTATATGTTAGGTGAGACAGAAAACTAAAAATTTAAATGAAGAATACATGCACTATTGATACAACTGTAATTAATGTGACGGTAGAAAACAGTGCAGCCAATTTAAATCTTTTTAAAATATTGTCACAGAATTAAAGGAATCTCAGTAGAGCAATTTATGTAACACCTTGTAATTTGCACCAGTAATGTGTTTTATTTGCTTGAATTGTCTCGTCTCTCATAGGTTGGCGAGATGTGGAGGGCCGCGAGCCAAGGTTTGCTGGACGGCTTCATCTGTTGGATGAATTGTTTTCCAAAATCTGTCACTCCAGACCTGAATGTGCAGCTGAGATTAAAGCCACAACCACCACAACTGCTCAGCCTGGAGAGACACCTAGTGTGCAACGCCGGAATCAGCGCAGCAAGAAGACAGCCATAAAGCAACTCTTCACTGTTGCATCCAAGTTTCAGAAGAACCTACGCAGGTAAATTTCATGGCATTGTTTAAACAGNGTCAGAAGAAATATGTTCAGGTGATGGGATATGGGAAATTTCTACTTAATTGTGCTCTTTGGTAGCCCTGCTCTTTGTCTAAGGCCAGTAGCACTACTTAGGGGCCCAACAGAGTAGAAATTGACTTGTATCCTCTCCACCTGAAGTCAGTAACAACACATTTCTGAAACATGTTTTTTTAATTATTTATTTGTGTGTGTATATATAGAAATAGGATGATGGATGGAGCCCAATCAAATAACCATGTCTGTTGCATCACATTACTATCAAGTAACTTAACCTAGTCTATTATGTTATTTTTTCTTTTTCTTTTTTTTATACTTTTCAATAAATGTGTGTTAAATGTTGTATTTGTATACCTCAAACCTAGTGCCACATAATCTACATAGAGTTCTGTCTTCTGGTATATACTGTCATGTAATCCAGTGAAAGTCAGCTGCTGTTCCAGAGGAACATATCACTTCCATCTTCATGGCTGAAGGCTAGGCCAAATAAGAAGCCAGCAGCATAAGCAGACCTGTTTTATGGCCACTGTTGAGAGCCCCAAGTTCATGTAATCCAGCTTAACTGTACCTGAATTAACTTAATCTAATGTAACATTTCCAGGGATGTGTATATATGCCTGTAGCATGGAAAGGGTTGAACTTAACGTGGGTCCCTTTTAATTCTTTATCTCGTAATCAAGCCACCCCCATCCATTATAGCGAAATCTTACTGTTAATGAGGTGTGTGGTAACCTTTTTGTTGCAGAGGGGTGTTTCTGTCCTGCCTGTTGTACCATGAAGACAAGGTCCTTGTAACTAATGAGGATTTTCTGCCAGTGATAGAGGTAGATGAGACATACCCCAGCTGCATCTACCATGACTTCCATTGGCTCATGAAGGTACAGTCAGAGTGCCTGAGTTGCATTCCAGATTCAGTAGTCAGTCTATTTTAGAAATACAAAACAATCCAGAATGACATTACTGTAGCTGTATAACAATCTTTTGTCCACTGTTCTCTTTTTCTTTCTCTGGTCTGGTTGCTAGGTGAACCAAATCTGCTTTCTGTAGAGTAAAATGCTTTATACCCACTGTTGCTCATTGTTTGATGATTGTGCAGTGCAACATCAGTAGACAGCAGAACAATGATTATCGAGAATGTAGATTTTTGTAATTAAACAGAAACTTCTGGGAATTTAAATGTGATTTCATTGAGTAGCTAGTAGCTTGTGGTGACACTGTGTACAGGTGGCATGTACATGGGATGATGTCAAGTCACTCAGGCAGGACATGGAACGCAGCCTCAGTTCATCAGCCGTCCACTTCCGTATTAAACTTCTCCAGGCAGCAGCACAGATGCAGGTAATTACCGAAGTTTTTAAGCTGAAATTCTGATGGGTGATCGACCCTGTCAGTGCAGAATGAATTTCCAGCGTTTTGGACACTGTTTCTGCTTCCATCATAAAGGATTAATGTGGTGAGTGACAGAAGTGTTTGTTACTTAACTCCTGCAGCCTATGTCATTGCCCGAGAATGGAGAGTCACATGGCCGCACACTGCAGTCAAGTAGACATAAAAATCTTTGAAATTCTATGTTACTCATTTCTGAAAACATGCTCATATAATCTCATTTATTTATTGCTTTAACTCATTAATTTGCTTCTGTCCTATTTCTGGGTTTTCCTCTTGAACCACCTGAAATCTCATATCAGGATACCGAGATCTTATTCTGTTACAATCCAAATGTCACATATGTAAAAGTAATGATGTCTTCATTTTCTGAAATGAGATTATGAGATCTCACTGTTCTCCACGTTTTCATATCTGATCTAAATATATGATAAATATTTTTTAAGTTTTCCAGTGAGTAAAATAGTGTTGTTAGATTACAGTCCAGGTCATGCTTGCCCTGGGGTTGCATGTGGGGAGATACAAGGAGAAGTATTGCAAGGAATAGCAGGGCAGTAGTTGCAGCTGCATTGAGGGTAAATCGGTAAATGGACTCCAAGACCCTTCTATAAACCATGCAGACCCTATAACTCTTATCTCTGAGTATGGTCAGAACTAAAAGTACACACAGTAGAAACAAGTGCCATTATAGTTTGGAAGTAATCTTTCAAAACAGTGCAGTACTGCATAAACAATACAGCAGAGTTTTGTCATGTTTAAGCATACAGAGGCCAAATTTAAGATTATAATTTTCATTGGGTGCATCCTATTATGTTTATTATATAAAACTCCTTATTGGGATCCATGATAACACGACAACAAAACGGTCTAGGTCAGTATCACCTTAGCTACATGTTTAGGCTTTTAAAGCCATCATCAGGCAAAGCACATGATTACTATATTCACATACACACACACACATATGTTGCACTGCATTTCAATGTGGTGGTACAATGGAGCTGGATACTTGACAACTGTGTTACATTATAATAATACAAGGTATAAATAAAAAGAAAGTAAAGTGAGTAAGTAAAGCTCTCCCTGTAACAGTCCGTGGAGGCCCATGGGGTTGTGAGATGTTGAAGTTCCCACATTTTCTAGACAATCGGCTCATAGATGGTGGCAAGTTTGTCAGCCCTACATGTCAGCTGCCCTTTACCCCCAAGAATATTCCTGGTACTCATTTCTGTTAGAGGCTGAGTTGACCCCAGGGCCATAGTGCAGCTGGAAGGATTAGATCAATTGAAAAAATCCAACAACCTCATCGGGACTTGAACCCACGACCTTCCGACTTGTAGCATAGTGCCTCAACCAACTATGCTATCACGTGTCCCACAAGGTATAAATAAAATTATAAAATTATTATAAAATGAAAGTTATACAATAGAATACGACAGATCCCAATAAAGAAATTTAAGATTATATTTTTGCATAGTGTGAAATTGTCACTTGTGACATTCAGGCAGCACTGTGTATCCAAGACCTGGGGCAGCTGTACCACAAACCAGTAAGAGACTGCCAGGGGACACTCGTCATCTCCACTGTCAACTATGTGCGTTCTCCCAAGACCATATCAGTCCTTAATTCAAGATGGCTGCCACTTAGCAAAGTACAGAAGAAACTGGCAACTCATGAAGAGCCGAACGTAGGGGAGCTGCTTATGGCTTCCATTCAGGTATGGTCATGGATATATAAACTTGCATGTGACTCAGTTTGTTTCAGTAACGTGTTTCCTCTTTACCTCTATTTAACATGATAAATATAGCATGTAATATCCTTTTATATTTTTTGTATTATGTTACAAAGCTGTCTGAAAGCAGGTAACAAATTGTAGTGGCTGGATGTAGGTGTGAGATCAGATAGAGGCCCTATGAACTGCATCATCAAAGGGTCTACCAGACGCTAATGACAGATGAATACAGATCATTGGTGGAAAGGTACCTGGCAGGGGAAAATCTGCTCTCATGGCCTCTTTGTTCACCCACAAGACTTAACAGAAAATATATATTGTGCATAAATTTTGTTTTTCTGTACAACATTTGTTCAAAACATTTTCTTTTTCTATTTTATGAGCATTTAGCAAGTTGGGCTTGAGGTTCGTAGAGAAACAGACACATGTAGGTCTTCATGTAAAGTATCCCTATCCCTTATTGCTGCCTGATTTTACAAAACTTGAAATGTATTAATAAATTTTATAAGTTCGTAATATCAGGTCTCCTGCACTATCCCTAAGCTCTTATGTGTGAACAGATGGACAACCAAAGAGCCATGGTGAAGCTAATAGTTGCAGTGTTCATATTTTTGTTGCTAACTCACCAGAAATGGAAATAAATAACAGCATGTCACATAGTTTATAGTCGCACATCAGCATCTGTGGATGTCGCTTGGTGATGGATATTCTGTTGTAGAAGATGGGTACAAAACTGTCAGTGTGAGTTTTGATGTTCTGATGGCAGTGACTATGAAGATTAATGCAATAGTGTGTAGTCTAGTCTGCAATCTGTAGTGTGACTACATGCAGTCAGATCCCAGAACACAGTAACATTCAACCTTACAACTTATTTGTATTTACTTGCTACCTTTTTCCTCAGGACCAGATAACGTACCACCAAGTTAGCAGCATCAGGCTAAGTCGAGGGCTGTATTTGGGGTACCTCAAGATGCGTAGTTCGGTTGACTTGATTCAGGTAGTGGTGCCAAGCAAGGCCCCCAATGTCCTGCCACACTGCAAGATTCGGGATAACCCCCACGTCTCATCGTAAGTTCTCTGAACAGTCTTCATTCTTTTTTTATTTAATGTTTGAAGCCAGAATGGCTTGGTATAGTGTTCACAAGTAACCTCCCCTCTAACAGGACCCTATTCTGAGTCAGATGGATCATACTTCAGTTAAATCCATTTTAAAATTTTCTTCACATATGTGTCTAGATATTCCCAAGTGACATCGGGTTTTCAAACTGTAATTTTGTTTCCATTCCTCATTGCCCCTGTGCATGAAACCTGGCCTGCCTTTCTTGTATGCCCCTGTGTAATAGTTCATAACGTGCTTATTTTTTAAGACGAGATGTGAGCCCCAACCTCCAGACTTGGAGGACCATCCTTCGTTGCTTGTATGTGACTACTTATTCCATGAAACCATCCACAACCTGGGGATGCACCCCTCCATAGCAATTTGGGGTGTTTCTGACGTGAACAGGCCATCAGCTACTACTGCCTTCTTCAGCTCTCAAGATACACAGTGTTCTGTTATCAGCATATGCTGTTGCTCATAGTTGCTAGTAATGTGTTCCAGTGCCAAAGGAACCCAATCTAATATTCTTGATTCAAGGTTTCCCCTCATTTAGTATTCATTTTCTGAAATCCCAAGTCTGTAAGTACCAGTGTTGAAGTTCCTCACTCAGTTTCTTTTCCAAATCCATTGGTCCACAAAGAAACCTTAAAAAGGGTAACACTGTACACATGCAAGATTGTGTGAGAGGGAGGAAGAGTTCAGATTATGGTCCTCTGGAATGTGACATAGTGAAGTCTGGTAGAGGATGAGAGCAGTAGGTCCCTCTCTGAAATGTTGGTACCCATCTACCAGACTACATGGCGTTCCAGAATACCGTAATCATAATAGGCACCTCAGTGACAACCTCAGATCTAACAGAGAGGAGGCTGGACTTAACCAAGCATGGAATAGCCATACAGATGAAAGAAGACAACTCCTGGTATTTCACTTGCAACATGAATTTTCATACAAGTATGTGAAGTAGACCCTCACTGGACAGTTCTTCTGCACCTTAGTCTTACCATGTTCTCCTTTGACTAGAGGTAAAGTTAACCCTGTGCTTAAGCACCACACCATTAAGGTGTGTGGGTGAGTGCAGGAAGGAACCCACACCTTCATGCTCCAGTCACTTCACCCCTGGGATCGAACTGGATGAGCTGCAAGAGTCAGTCAAGGTGTGGTGACACAAAGAAATCTTCCTTTTCCACTGGGACTTGAATATCAGTCAACCATCTGATATATGTCCAGTGCTTTACTGAGCCATCGTGGCCCCTCATAATGCTGTATCTTCCCATTTGGCATTGCAGCGAGGAGTGGGAGTGGCTGAAAAGGCAAAGTGCTCGCCACAAAACTCTGGGCTGCTCGTCTAGTGAGACCCTGAGTTCGGTCTCCAGTGACGAGCAAACTAGCAGCGAAGATGGACAGCAGGCAGAGGCGTCTGGTGGTGGGACAGAGCAGCAAAGGGTATTTGTGGAGCTTGTAGCTGCTACAGCCCGACGGCTCTTTTCTTACATGGAAGTTAGCCCTCAGGAGGCACTGACCCACAGGTAACACAGCACAACTACAGAGCTACCTCTCTCTCTCTCTCAGCAGTTAACATGAATAGTAATCTTTGTGTTAGCGTAATTCATCTATTTATAACTCAAAAGGCATATCTGGTAAAAGATCTAGTCTATGTAGAATGGAACTGTTTGTTTTCCGTATCGCATACTTGTAGGAGAACAGTCCAAGATAGTTTGAAATTTGCTGTGTACTCTTAGCAATGTATATGGTAGGTACAGCTGTCTCAGTAGTGTGCAGGCAGTGCTGCAGACTTTTCAGTGCAATTAAAACCTCATTCCCAGGAAACTTTAGTTTTTAAATTCAAGTTTCTTTCTCTTTCAACACTGTAGCCATTACATACTGTATTACTGATGAAGAAAGTAACAGTGTCCCAGGCAAGAGACGATTACTTCACCATGTTTTCAGTAAAAATTTGTTATAAGTCAATGTATGACATTGCATTAAAGGTCACACTGTCATGAAATAATGTATGATCATTACCTCATGACTGGAAAAGTGAATTATAAATGGAATATATTCTTTAACCCTTTGTTTCTCATACCATGACAAAATATATCTCATTTAACTGTACGTTGAGACTTACTCATATGGCACCCTGCCTCCATTTGCAGCTACACTTAGATGGTAGCAAGGCTGCGCCATAGCTCAAGCGGTTAGTCGCTGGCTTCCCACTGTGGCGGCCTGAGTTCGATCCCGGGTCTGGTCAAGTTGGACTTGTGGTGGACAAAGTAGCGCTGGGGCAGGTTTTCTCCGAGCACTTCGGTTTCCCCTGCCAGTCTTCATTCCACCAATTGCTCCACAATCACCCTCACCTCTCATTTGGGGCTGCTACAGTAGGCCAGAAGTGGCCGCAGTACAAGGGACTTGGTCCCACCCCACTAGCAACAAAAAAAATAGATGGTAGCAAGTCTCTTCTGTTGCAGCATCACCTTAAATCTTTTTTATGTCTAATGAGAAATCAAACGCACTCTTCAGTCAAAGCTAGACTTAACAGAAATGTAGCAAGATGGCCATTAGTTGATGACAAGCCAAGCATGAACTTCAAAACATCTAAGATGTTGTGCACCTGTTTGTACAGAGCAGCTGGCTGTATCCTGGGAGCCATGTTCTAACCTAACCTAGCCTAGCCTGACAGTGAATTAATATTTGCATTCCCAGAAAGAGACTGGGGTGACAGCTCTGCGTACTACGACCTTTATATTATGCAGCAGGTAACAAATGTGTCCTGGGTACGCAGCATTTTCAATTATCTTCCCGTGTTGCAGGATGTATGATGCAGAAGTTGTTGATCTGAGTCCCGAAGTGTCGTTTCTCATTGTGGTACCGCGTGCTGAATCAGCATGTGCCGTGCCGGGGCAGACAGAGGCCTTACTGCAGCGAGGAGACCTCATAGCCCTGCCTGTACAGGTGTTTGAGATGGTGCACTTGGGAACTTACCAGCGTGACGTCATCTCCCGCTACTCCAGACTATCCTGTATATTGGAACTGGACACCGTACTGGCACACCATAGCCACAGAGAGGTGTGTGGTCACAACCCTACAACGATACTTAACAGTATAGTTGTAAGATTTGAGGCTTTCACAGCGGTGACTATGAAGAAAGCAGTCTTCTGGGATTTGGCACCGTGTATATGTGGTGTTAACCGACGTTTTGGAGGAACATATCGCCTCCATCTTCAGGGTAGAAGGAAAAATATAAGAAATCCGCAAGCGAAGAGACCATGAGAACCGGTAAAAGCAGTTCTCACGGTCTCGTCTCTTGCGGATTTCTTATATTTTTCCTTCTACCCTGAAGATGGAGGCGATACGTTCCTCTGAAACGTCAGTTAACACCACATATACACGGTGCCAAATCCCAGAAGACTGCTTTCTTCATTAACAATATAGTTGTTATATTATAAGCAGTGCAATGGTCATTGCAAATTCAACAGAAAATCTAGTGTTTTCTCGCATCATTCCTTCCTCCCTTCCTTCTTTGCTTTATTTTACATTAACGTGGGTAATTCTCACTTGGAGTCTGCAGCTACAGGAGGATAACAATGAAAATACCAGTCATGCAATGTGCCATGTTATTTCAACATTTCCCATGTTTTTCACAACATCTGTGAATGCAACCAAGCTTGGCATAGAAGCTGGCATTTATAAATAGCACCATCTGTCAGGAACTGAAAGTAACTACATCCTCAGTGAGCACACCAAAAAGTTGGATGTTTAACAAGCAGGGAATTCAGTTCTGGAGCTTGTGAGTGAACATGCAGGTACAATTACCTGTGTATAAACACTGATATTGGGATTACAGTCATGACATGATTGAATTGTAATTGCAGTTACTTTCTATAGACTTCTATAGACTGTCAGATTATGGCCTGGCAAAGCAAGTATTTTTGGTGTAATGCAATGACCGACCTTTGATTTTTGAAGGTGCACAAATGGAAGTTTACACTTTCATTCATCAGTTAATCCAGACCTCAATAACATGAATAAGGGTATTAAGCTCTACAGTAATAATTATCTTACAGTACAGTTCTGTGCAAACATTGATTGCAATTGGACTTACTGGACAAAAAAAAATGTTTCAAGTTACCTTTGCAGCAGTTATACTTTCTAAGATCTACATGTTTGTGGCGGCAGTATGTGTTGATACAGTTAATGTGTCTCTGGACAGTATCCATTGCACTCTTTTTATTTAAAACACAGTGTTAAGGGACTGGATCCTCTGTGTCTTCAGGTGGAAGACAGAGATGGAATCCAGGATGATGGATAATGTCCAGAAATACAATAATTGTATTATTATTATTATTATTATTATTATTTATTTCATCCATAGCTGTAGAGAATTACAATTGGACATGTCAAATATCAACAACCTCACATAAAAAATAACATAAGTAAAAAATAACATAACATTCACACAGTGATTCATCACTGTAATACAGCAATACATCTCAAAATACTTGTAGTTTGTTTGAAATCTGGCATACATTATGTATGAAATCCTTTGTTTTTCCGGTTTTCTCTGTCTCTATTCTGGTTATTAGGTAGGTCTAACTGATCTCCTGCAATCCATGAAGTTACAATGTTCACTGATGTTTCATTATTTAATGTACTTCATGCAGAGATAGGGACTAGTGGTATCACTTGGGCCCATCTATTTACTTGAGTACAGAGACAGAGTCCAATCTCCAAAATGTTGTTTTTAAATAAAAACAGGACGATGGATAATGCCCCAAAAGTCAGTAATTGTGTTAATGTACCATTGTCACAAACTTCTAGATCTTACTTAGCAACTATTTCATATATAAAGCAATTGCGTGATACTATCACAGTGAATAACAGGTAACCAAGGGACAGAATTGTACATTCACATGATTTAATAAAGAACTAAGCCATACCATAAGGGCAGTTAGTCACCAGCTTCGACCGCAGAGGCCCATGTTTGAGCCCAAGTCAGGTCATGTGGGATCTGTGGTAGGCAAAGTGCCACAGGGGCAGCTTTTCTCCAAGTACCTCAGATTCCCCTGGCAGTTCTCATTCCACTAAATGCTCCATGCTCACCTATCATCCAGGGCTGGTACAAATAACCAATTAGTAGCTGACATACCAAATGGACTCAGTGTAGCCCCACCCCAAAACACACACAAAAAGAAAAGATGAACATGCACTTTCATTAAGGATTAAAGAAATAACAGGCAAATTTTGAAGCTTGATATGCTGGGTGTGCTATTTTCTTGCTTGTAATGAACACACTAGACATAATACAGCATCTAATGTTATTTTAATCACCCCTCCCCAGGCTTTCTCGGCATCCGAAGTAGCGGCAGCAAAAGACCGTCTTGCTCAGCTCCAAGACTTCCAATCTCAGCTGAATGCTGCATGGAAGGGCATCCGTTGGCTCATGGATGTGCTGACATTCGCAAGAGATCGTGGAAGTGGTGGCGTGACTTCGGGCAGTTGCGCAAGTACCCCTGGTGTGGCCATGAGGAACTTATTAGCTCTAAACTGGAGTTCGTCAGCGGAGCATGGAGGTGACAGAGAGGCGAACTGTAACGGTAAGGGTGGGAGTAGCTGTGGGGGTGGGAGTCTGAAGAGAAGTTTGCTGCAGTTGCCTCCGCGGGATCCGAAACTCGTGAAGTCGAGCACAAGTCGAGGCAGCTGGCCAGGTCCAGGTGTGAGTCCTGGTAGTGTTGCAAGTTTCCTGGCTTCAGAACTGAGTAAGAGCGAGCAGCATCTCAGTATAGGGAGGAGCAGCAGCCGCAGCCACAGTGGTGACATCAGTAGCAGCAACACTGCATCCACCATCATGACGGATGCCGGCAGTACCGGCAGTTTCTCAGTGGCAGGTGAGTGTTCCCCTCTGGGGCTGGTTTATTTGTAGGCATGGAAGCAGAAAATGCAGGCAAGAATGAACTACACAACAAGTGCTGGTCTAATTGCACTTAATTAATTAAGCACAAACGGGAGAGTGGAGGTATAGCTCCACCATTCTTAACCTTGGCACTAGATGGAGGTGAGTGGTCAGATTCAGGCCCCAGCCACTTTACCCCAGGCAAAGAGCCCCTGATATGCGCTGGGTTGGGGGCTGGGAGAGCCTAGAGCCAGTCTGGATGCTGTGGAGAAGGGAAAAGCCTTGGCCATCCAGCTCATAGCCTGTTACTGTGCTGACTGAGCTATCTCGACTCTGGTCTGAAGGTAAGTCATTGTCTAAAGCTAGAAGCCTGAAGCATGGATTTCTCTGTTTTGCAACTCAACCTTTCCTGTGGCATGCCATATTTAAATATTTTTAAATGTCAAATGCAAAACAACTAAAAATTCAGCCCAAACTGTTTTTTTCTTCTGTAAAGAAGTGACTAATTGTAAAGACACTGAAATCATGTCAGTGATACAGGTGAATGCTTGGTAGCATGTCTTTATTATAGCTCTGGGCGGAAAGAGTTTCAGTAGGAATGTGTCTCCACTTGTAACATGACGGTCAGTGGAAGAATGAGAGTCTGCATTATGCAATTCCAAAACATGGGCACATTTCCATGAACATGGCCTCTCCCTAATGTGGGAACATGCTGTACTTCATTGAAATTTGTATGTATATTTTTTGAGATAGCTGTGATTATTAAGACTGCAGTCTTCCAGGACATGGCAACACGTGGCCAGGTACCTGTCTACCAGACTACATTGCAACACATCCCATACTGTACTGTTAATATGTAACGTTCACTGTGACAGTATCTTGACAGGCAGTGTATAATTTAGTTACAGTACTTCCTGTTAACAGGAGATGATTTCTAGTTGACTTTGTGTTCTCATTGTTTCCATGGTTACACAGATTCCTAACAGAAGGGAATTCAAGAAGTAAGGGGTAAGAAAGGGGTAAGGGAAAGAAACAGTAAATTAGGAATGAAGGCACAGAAAGAAGGATTCCTTGCTGGAGTTGGGTATTCACTTTCCATTGGCTTTTCCTGCTCATTTCTCACATGAATTCATTCTTAGGAATGGGCCAGTGAAGTAATAACAATTAACTTTCATTCACCTGGAACAGGTGTCATCCCTCGATTACCCCCATCCCGAAGCGAGGACACCCTTCTCCTACAGAAGCTGCCTCCCCCATCAGTACGGACCCACACGCGATCACGCTCGTCTACCATAACAAGTGGAGCCAGTGTGTCTGCATCAGCATCACCACTGCTGTCAGTCCGGGCGATATCGGGGGGCAGTATGCATTCATTGTCATCGTCTGATGATACTGCTAGCTCTGCATCCACATCAGTTATGAAGCTGTCAAGTGGCGACAAGTTGGTTGGTGATCAGGACGATATCGCCAGTGTGGCCACCATTGTACCGGCACCTGCACCAGGAATACTGCAGGTATGATACGTATGCTGTGTTAGTCTGCCCATAGTGTTGTCCCAGTAACATGGAACAAATGGATAGAGTTTTCATGAAACTTGGAATGAACAATGTGACATTGGAAGTTTCCCCAAATTCACTCTTTCTCATTTCCTGCTACCAATAAAACCAAAATTGCACCAGTGTGAATTTGTGAGAAGCACTGAGAGTAAAGGCATTTAATTCTGAAGTCCTGGAATTCTGCAGTGTAACAGACCTTCCAAGAATATGCACCTCTTATTAAGGCTGTTCCTTTGCAGGCTCAGACATCACAGTCAAATGATGAGCACTGCTGCTGCTTATCTGGGAGAGCCATCCTCTCATTTTGTGCTGTACAATCTGAGCACATAAATATATGTATACTTCTTTGTGTACTGTAAAATAACATGGCATTCCATTCAATGACTGAAATTAATGGATTACAGGAATCCTAACTATGTGAAGCAGTCATTCTTCAGAAGCTGATAATAGCCAAGCTGACCAAGAGATCTCCTGCTCTGTATGAAACCTGTAGGCTCACGTTTTTTCACAAATCGTACCACAGGACCCTATCCTGAGCCATGAAGCTGGCAGGACATGTGAAATTTAGGATTGAATTAGGTGCAACTTATTGTCTTGTGAGACGTCGAGTCCCTCGACCCTGTCTGTGGTCGAGAAACCACGCTCTGCTACCACTTTGTGCCGTTTCCCTTCCCATGTAGAAGGGAACCCAGTTCTCCTGCCCACTTTAACCCATGGACTCCTATTCAAAGCGGGCAAGGGACAGGCTCATAAGACGACTTGCTTGTACGTGGTGCACTATGCCTCCCCAAGGTCGAGTAGGGGATCTCGGGAGAGGAAAACCACTGTCGGCACTATGGGCCAAGCTGGACGGATCTGCTAGTCTGAACTAGTAGGGGACACACAGACAACCCAAGTATACACAAATACTACAGGCGTTTCTAACATATAAATAAATGTGTATATTGATAACAAGGCATACAGGTGACTCTGCCTGACGGGCAGTGACTGGTCAAACACACTCACAATTAATACAGAATTACTCTGTGGCTAAGCGCACAGACGCAAATATAAGCACGCCTCATGGCANGAGAAGCACTGAGAGTAAAGGCATTTAATTCTGAAGTCCTGGAATTCTGCAGTGTAACAGACCTTCCAAGAATATGCACCTCTTATTAAGGCTGTTCCTTTGCAGGCTCAGACATCACAGTCAAATGATGAGCACTGCTGCTGCTTATCTGGGAGAGCCATCCTCTCATTTTGTGCTGTACAATCTGAGCACATAAATATATGTATACTTCTTTGTGTACTGTAAAATAACATGGCATTCCATTCAATGACTGAAATTAATGGATTACAGGAATCCTAACTATGTGAAGCAGTCATTCTTCAGAAGCTGATAATAGCCAAGCTGACCAAGAGATCTCCTGCTCTGTATGAAACCTGTAGGCTCACGTTTTTTCACAAATCGTACCACAGGACTCTATCCTGAGCCATGAAGCTGGCAGGACATATGAAATTTAGGATTGAATTAGGTGCAACTTATTGTCTTGTCCTGCTCTCTGTCACTACATGCTTCAGCCTTGTATGGCCATCATGAGGTGCAGGTTTATCTGACAAAACTGTTCCACCATTCCTTAGAATGATATATTGCATGTGAGTGTGATGTTGATTATTAATTAAAATTTAACAGAGCTGGTATAGATGTTGACGTAGTGTTATTATGTTAATGTTTTATATGTTAAGAATGACTTTCTCCCTCCAGCTCTGTCAGGCTGAGTAGGCTGTTGTTTTGTTTGTGTGTGTAGAGATGAGGCCAGAACATGTAGCGATGGAGAAGCAGGGCAAGACAATAAGTTCTGTTTGAGATGTATACAAGTAAGTCAAAATGTTACATCCCCAATTTCTAATACTTTGAGGCGTTTCATGACATTTATTATATGTATATGTTTGTAATATGCAGGATTTGAGGTTCTCCTAATGGTGACTAGGAAGTTATCGTTTTCTGGGATGTGACGCTGTGTTGTGTGGCTGGACTGGTACCAATACTGTTGATACAAGATTTAGCCAGCTGAAATGTTGCAGGTGTATGCAGCTTATGAGACAGGCCTGGCAAGTGGGACGAGCCTCAAGCTGCACGTGACGCCATGGACGACGGCCCGCGAGGTAGTGGATCTCGTGGTGAAGCAGCTAAACATGGCGGTGGTGCTCAAGGGTAAGGATGGACCTATCTACCCTAGTGACAAGCTCAAGAACTTTTGTCTGGTAGCTGTTATAGGGGCTAGGGAAAGATGTCTCAGAGATGACTTTAAACCACTCCAGCTGCAAAATCCATGGAAGAAAGGAAGGCTGTATGTCAGACAGAAACAGGATGTGCTGGCCGCACTTGAACAGAGTTCTCGTCACACCGCATATCTCTAGCCAGACTCAACTGAGCAAGATAGTGAACGATCCATCCATTCCACAGTGTCTGATTGTGATACTCTGAAGTGACAGCTACAGACGTCTGTAGTGACTAAAAGAAGGGGAGGGAGGGGGGATTTAGTTTTCACGCCAGTGGCTGCGATCACTGTTGGAAATGGAATCCAGTGATGACAGGAGGGGAGATGAACTGCCTTGCCATTGCCAGAACAAGAGAAACTCAGGTGCTGCTAATATTTGTTTGTTTGAAGATATTTTGGCATTTATTCACAACTGAGTAAAGGCTGTTATTGCTAACTGTTTGACTGTAGGTGTGGGAAATAGGATGACAGCTGTGGGGGAGTTGGAAGGCTTCCTGTAAAATGTTGCTGTTGGCAGTCAAATGTGTCACATATAAACAGTACACAACATCTCAAGAGAAATCTGAGTAATATTCTGAAAACTGATAAAAAGTATGAAAAGGAAATGCATTTACTTGTATGAAACCAGTGGAAGTGTGGGTAAGCAAAACATTCGCCATATCCAGAATACACAATTTGTTATGCAGTTTCTGTTTCTGTGCGACTGAAAGCTCCTAATTAAGAGGAACAGAAATGGTATGACAGGAAAACTTCAGGAGGATTCTGCCACATGACTGTTTAGTGAATTTTTTACTCACTGATCTGCTGAGACAAGATTATCTTCATTCTTAAAATAAATATTCCTACACATGCAGAACAGTTTCCATCACTGAAGACGTGATTTTTTTTTCAGTGTATGCTATTTAAATTATGACAGCTTACAAGGAACAGACTGTGGGGTTACAGCCCTAGATCATGCGATGCACATTCCTTCCGATAAAGAAGAATGCAGTGTGAATGAATGGGAACAGTAACATGGTTTTGTGTCTGTAAAGCTAACATTATTTAGCTGATGTGCATGTGATCTTTGTAGAGCATATGCTGTCCCAGGTATTGCAATCCATGAAGTGGCAGACTTTGTTCTGATGTTTTAAGTACATGAAAGCAGGAATTTTTACCTCAAATGTTCTCATGCCATAACTAATTCATTTTAAACTGAAACAGGTCAAGAGTGAAGTATCTTGGTCTCATCACTTCATTTTATATATGATCACATTGCAGATATAATTATAAAGAAATCAAATACATTGCAGATATCCAAAAAAAATGGAATGAACTTACAGAACAGGATTTTGGGCTTGACAATATGTTGTAAGATTTAAGTCCTATTTATTATAAGATTTGCATATTTTGCTGCAGTAAAGATTGATACTATTGTCATGTGTAGGAGGGTACACATGATGAAAATAACAGGTTCTGGTTCGGATGATTGGATTTATTGGCACTTCAGTTACAAGGTCCCTTAATTACAACTAACACAGCACTATCATTAATTTACACAATATTCAGTTCACCATTGCACATGCACTAGGATTCTCAGTTCCCACTAGTCATTTCCTAGCAACGGATCTCAGTACAGAACTTAGCACTTCAAATCACTATGAAATCTTCTTGACATTTCTTCTGCAATCACCCTGGAACCTCAGAACTCAACTAAAAACTTTTCTGGACTCTGAATTCACTTCTCTTATAAGCACTCTGCACAGACTCCACAGAAAACACAGTCTGTATTGTTAATGTCACCGCATTGCATAGCATGGTCTGATATGCAGAAATGTGTTTACTGAACCATTGCCAAGAAAGGGATTGCATAACCTCATTATTATATTGTTGCATGCGTCTATTAGCAATGGCTGTTTCTGTGGGTCAATCGTTCTTGCCTGGAGCAAATACACCACACTACTGTCTTCAGGATTATGGTGCCATCTTGTGGTCTCATTGTGCAGCAACATACTGCCTCTCTCTGTCTTCAGGAAGATGGAAGCAGTAGTTTCTCCCAAAACAATATTTTATCATAACCCAGAAGATCACAACGGTAATTCACATTCTAAATGCTTCTTTGGAAACTGGTTCTTATAGTCAATTAAATTCCAAGTTTCAATGTAACATTTGCTACTTCAAATTTCATCTCTGAATCATGAAATGCACTACTACAGTAAATGGTGAGCACCTTCCATTATTGTTTTTTATGTTTAGTATTTCTTTTTCACGCTTTTTTGTACCCATGGACCACAGTATTGAAAATAATAAGAGGAAATAATAATTGAAAATTAATCAGTCATCACATTTATACCTTACCAAACTGACTGGAGATAGCGTGCAAGATGAATAGTAAAGGACAGCACAGCAGAACAGATTGTAGTGCACAAGCCTGACTGAACAGATGCATGAAATCATGATACTCTGCATGGAGTAATGCCGGACATGATGACAGAAGAGTAGCCAGTGAATCTGTCTGGAAGTGTCTAAGTAAAGAAATGAATCAAAATTAGAAGAATTGTTATATTAAAATATTTTTGAAACACATTTATGCATCTTTCTGCTTCATTCATGAATTCCATTCTCTCTTTTGTTGGGGCACAGTAATCTGTGACATCACAGTTTGCAGAATAGACAGCAGTAAATTTTCGGGGTTGAAACTGGATTGGACTGTTAAGACTTTTACATGTTTATAAATAAGATAAAGGATGTCGCATATCGCAGATACTTTACTCTGACAAGTAGAGCTTTTAGAAATGATGTACTTACTGATGTAAAGCAAAACAACATTTCCAGAAATGGGTAAAAATGGTGATATCACACCCAGTGTGTTTCTAATATATCAGACTTTATTTGTGTATGTAATGGTACAACTCTAGTCACATTAACAATGGCAGCTGTCACTTGCAAGGGTTAAATACATCCTTGTGAATTAACATTATTTTTAAGAACAGAGATGATATTAGGATTAATAAGAGAGTTTTGATATAGGAAGGGTGAAAGTGACAGTTCATCGCATATTCTTCAGTAGTGGTGTTTTGGTCCTCAGTTTGTGAGGCTTACAAACAAAATGGAACATGAATGCAAGTTACAGTTTCAAAAGCATAAGTTAAAACTATTTTCTATTGCAAATCTTAGAAAACAGACACCAAGAAGCAGTACAAGGTGAGCAGAGCTATTCCTAAGAATTATTTAGATATTCTTATTCCAGTACTGAAGGTTGAGGAAACTGAATATTAGCAATTCCTATAACTGTACATATTAGCGCTTCTTGAAACAGAATGTTCTCTAGAGATACATACATTTCAGAAGTGGCTATTTATTTGCATATTTAAAATCTTATGCAATCCCACATGAGAGAGCATCCTTAGACTGTGTACTGTACACCCCTGTCAAGGAATGGATTCATATCTTAGAAACATGTGTCTGCAACATGTTGCATCTGTCATACTAACACCAAAAAATGAAAATATTGATGTCTTAAGTTCATACAACTTCTTGAGCTTTTAGTATAGGCTTCTTAGGAACATAGAAAACAGATGTTATAAAATAGCATTGTGTCTCTTTCAGTTACTTTGAATTTATGACATGGCTGATGGTATTATTAGGTGTTTATAATTCTTTCATAATTTCATTCAGGTAAATTCAGTTCTCCATTTTTGATGCAGATCAGTATAAATGTGTGATAAAATTACTCTTCATTAACGGCATGGATTTGAACATCTTATTAATGACACTCATTAGAATTCACTTAAAAAGAAAATCATTACCCTGATATCATTTTCATAATTGCAATTAGAATTCTGTTCTAAAAAATCTGTCTGTTTCTTCTTGGTTTATTCTTCAATAATTTGAAACCTCCACTGAACGTTTCTTTCTGGAGTAGTGGATTTGGGCACTAAACCAAGAAAAATCTTAAGTGGAGTAAACTTAACACTGAGATTATTAATGGCTTTAGGCTTCCATGGTGGTTTGGTGGTGATGTTGACTGCCATTGGGTATTTACACCTTGTGGTTATTGGACTGTTGCCAAAGTTCTGATATAATGTGATGCCTCCACTGATCCTGAAGGTGGATGCAATATGTTCCTTTGAAACACCAGCAACAGAGCCCACATCCACACAGTGGAAATATCCAAGAGAAGGATCAACTGAGATCGTCAATTTGAGATGTAAAGTAAGAGAAAATGTGAAATTGAAGAATATTAAGTAGGGATTAAACTGTATCAGAAAATTGTTTGTTTGATAGTGTTAATATCTTCTCTGAATATTATAGCTAAGATAATTTCTAGGGAAATTCAGATTTATTAAATCTCAAATTATGTTTATCATAGCAAAGATGCCTATTAATATTAACCAAATCTGGTTGGTTGGATTTGGGATCATTTAACCCATTTTACTTCTTGCTTCCCAATAGAGAGCACTTAAGTTCTTGCTTTGTTGCATCTTGAAGAAGTTTGCACTTTTCTTTTGGGAAGCTTTGCCAGATTTGTTGCTCATTTTGCACTACCCAGGGGACACATGACTTAAAGAATGTCACGGATGTGAGCGACTTTGTCCCGCTTAACCAAATCTTTCATTATATAAATTTATTTCTCTGTTTCTGTAGTTTCATCAGATTTATTATTAGATGAGGATGTTTCTTTTGGAATGCATCTGCATGAAAATGATGACACAGTGATGTTTCAGCAAATATCCCAACAGGTCTCATGTAAGATGGACACACATCCCAGCAAAGTTTGTTGACTAGAATGTAAACAGGCTTAAATTTCAGTATCAGATCTAGAAAATTCATATTCAATTTGGAAACAATAGTTCCAGACACAAAACAAACATAACTTCAATTTACAGGTAAAGTATGCAACCCATAACGTGTTTCAAAACTGACCATGTTTGAAACTCATTTGAACTAACATTTCTCATCCCAGGCTGTGGAAATTATAAATACCTAACAATCCATGTGATGGGGAGGGTTCAATATGAATGTTGTCAGGTACATGAAGGTTTTGTATGTGTCTGGCACCATAACATAATCATATTACATATAACCTGACCTCTTAGAATGCAAAATGTGAGCAAGGGAATCCTGATGGTCCCCAAAATGACAAATATTATTACACGGAGTTCCTGTATGAATGTGATAAACGTTTTTCTTTTTTAGCTTTGCATCTTTTTCAGTTCCTCTGCATATTTTAGATGTATCTTAACTGCCACAACCAAAAGTATAAAAGAGAGAGAGCAAGAGAAAGTTAAAGTATTTTATAAGGTGTTTGTAAATGATGATGTTGACATTGTATTTACTGTATTTATTTAACAAATTTATGTATTGAAAGGTGCATTTAACTGAGAAAGTGTAATATGTTTCATAATATAATTGAGAAAATTAAACTTAAAAAGGAGCACAGAAATTATTGTTATAACAATGATCAAGAAGAAATGAGTTCATAATTCATTCTCAAATTTAAAAATGGAAGAGAATAACTGACAGCAGCATTAAATTCATTGCCAGTGTAGGGTTTCTGACAAACTAAATACTGGGTGCTCACATACGGTGTGTAGTCCTATAAAACTAAGAGTGCTAGTTTTCTTCTCCACAGTGTGCATCCTGCTGTGTGTTACAAATATATGGCAAGGTAAGGGTTTCATGAACACAACAAACAGCCCATAACAATAATATCCAAAATACATTACTACAGCACAACCTCGGGTATAACAACATCCACCATGAGAGATACTCAACAATGCGGTTTCCTACAATTATTCACACAACACTAAAAATTCTGAACATCACATGAGAAATTTTAACATCATATTCCATCATCTTAATAATTGTTCTAATAATTTTAATATTTTTGTGTTTTAATTCTATAACTTTCAGTTTTATTCCCAAGGCTTTATGTCATAATATATCATTCCATCATATTATTCATCTTTGATAAACATTATATGCTAATAATTTTAATACAAATTCTTTGTACACTCTTAATATTTTAAGGTATGTAATTCTTACATTCTAACTTAGGCATAACTTTATCCTTAAGATCATAATACTGCCCGATGATGGTCCCATGAGGACTGAAATATGTAGTGGTAGAAAATAAAATTCAATCTGAGTACCGATTGATTGTAAAACCACACTTATGTTCACAGAAACCTTATCTTGTCATATAAGAGTGCTAGACAGGACCAGTTTGCTGAAAATTTGTTAATATGAGACGTGTTACTTAGTGGGGGTTGCTTTGAGTTTTGAAGTGGAAGCTAACAGTATTTGAACCCTTAAAGACATGCCCACATATCAAACAGGGAAGTCTCGAATTAAACAAGCTTTAAGATAATAACATCTAAAAGTGTGTGATGACGGTACATTAGTCGTCCTGTCTTTATATAAAACACCGTAATGTTTATTAAAAAACAATAAACAGGACAGTGTTTTAGATAAATATAATTTCCAAAAACATAATATTTGTACTAAGCTTTAAGTTAGTATGTTATCATTATGTATAAAACTTCATATAAAACTGCTTTTATAATTTTTCCTGAAATTTTTCATGACACTAACATTGTGTTATTAAATTGAAGTAATTATTTTTAAAACAAATAACA